TACCAAAAGTACCAAAAACTTTATTCACTTTTTAAAAAAGTAAACTTTTGCCAAACATGAATGCTAGGTCTGTTTTTACCTGGATTATTAATCCCTTTGCCTAAAGAAAACAGACATTTTGAAATAATACTTTTTTCATTAGATATTTATGAGCAGAATCCTAGAGAAATTACTATTTCCTCTTCTTTCTAGTGTAATTGTAAGTGGTTCTGAGTCCATCTGATGGAGAATTGAATGTTTATATTTAATGTTATGAGGGCACCAAAGAAGCACACTTAATAAAAACATGTGCTATTACTGCCTATTGGTATAAACATTTCACCTAATATTTTAAAGCATAGGTCCAATCTAAATACTAGGTGGGTGTTATGGAGATTGTGTGTTGTTTAGATGCAAGTTGGGTTGTTCAGATAGTCTCTCTAAGTTAGCAGTAACACTTGGTGTTATGTGCCAAGAAAAGCACATCAGTAAAAAAAAAAAAACCTGGTGTGCGCTGGCATTCGTGGCAGGATTTGGACTATCTTTAATCTCATTTGACTTGTTCATCTTCCTTTAAGGCCATCCATAAAGATGCACTGGGTATCCCTTTCAGCCTTTGGTTAGGATTTGCATCAGTAGTCATAAACCTGCTCTCTGGACAAAGACACCCTTTCCTTTGAAGTAACTGTTCAAGCTTTTCAAAGCAGTCCTAGAAGTCTGTCCTCTTTCTCTTTTTATTTTTCTTTAAGAAGAGTTTGAAGTGTAGACCCTTAAACCAGTAGCAGGATAAATTTTTCTTTCAGCATTATCGAAAGCCATGACAATTTTTTCAAGTAGCAAGACTTTAAAAGGTTCTTAGGGGAATCTGTTCTGCTTTATGGTCTAGCTTTCGGTAGATCCTACTATCTCAGAAAGCAAAAGTAAAGACTTTTTATATCCATTAGCCACTGCACATTTTTATCAAACGAATTAACCTGATATTTTTCAGAAGACTTTTTTCTGCTATTTATTCAGTTTAGAGACTTCAGTGAGAGATGGTGATAGCTTGAGATCTTTGAAAAAAAATAATACATGGGATTGTCTTTCTTGAAGTGAATGCCCCCCGCCCCAGGTTTTAGCTATTTGGGCTGACAAGTGGTTGGGAGGGGCAGATTTAGGTGACTGCTGGAAGGAGAATGAATTATATGATTCCTAGATTTCTAGGCTTTCAGAAGAAGTATGCACAGATATGGATGGGGTTTGGCCTTTCCTTTCTGCAGGATGATATCTCTTGGCTCTGCTACCATCCAGGATGATGTATAACAGCGTGACTTCTGAGAAATAGAAAGATAGGGTTGGTGAGCCACACAGAATCCCCTCTGCCCTGATTAATTTCATTCCAGGTGGTTCCCAAAATGCCTGCTGATCTTAAATAATTTGGACTCATTTGATTTAAATCCCACACCCTTTAATTCCACCTACCAAAGTGAAATTTTAGTATGTAAAACACTTGGTTTACTGGAATTTAGGAAAATCCAAGTGCCTAAGGCCTTTGACTGCTAACCAGAAGCTGGTGGTTCAAACCTACCAGCCACTCCTTAGAAGGAGGGTTGGGCAATCTACTTCCGTAGTGATACTGCCTCGGCAACCCAAGGAGGGGTAGCTGTGAGTCGGATCCGACTAGATGGCAAGTGAGGGTTTTTTTTTTTTTTTTTAGATTTTAAGTATACTTTCTGATCAAAAGAAAATGTGAACAAATGCTTGATTTGTACAGCAGACAAGTTTTTAGACAAGACTGGAAACAGCCTTTTTTTTTTTTAGAGGAAATTCTGTCCTCTCTGCCCTTATGTTGTTGTCTGTGGATTTTTAGAGACCTTTAGTATAGGTTTCTGTAGGTGAGGGACGTCAGGCAGTACAGTCTTGTTACTGGAAACCCAGGCATTGTTTGTGAAATCAGTTACCTGAAAAGAACGTAACAATCATAAATCTACCCTGATGCTTTAAATTTGTTTTTCTTTTTTTGTATTTTTGTGTTTCTTGAATCGTCTAACCTGCTTCCTGGATTAGGAAATGTTTTGCCAAACTTTGAAGCTGAAGTCCTATAATTGAAAGTTCTTTATTTAGAGAGCATGCCCTAGGGAAAGAAAAATCTTTTTTCAGTTTTGAAATTACTCTATGTGTGTCTCTCTGTGTGTTTTCAGATTTGTGGAGACAAAAAAATAAATTATGGATACAGTGTGCAGTATTGCAAATTGTATTTTGCAAGTAAAGCAGACTTATGAAAATCTCAGTGTTGAGTTTATAAAATGAATGTTTATATTTTAACCCACTTTCTAGGCAGGGTTGGTCATGAGGCTTCCTAAACTAACTTTATAATCAGAAAATTTTCAGTATTTCAACTTTTACATTAAAGGAAGAAATACAATAGACAGTAATCTCTCCCGATCTGCCCCTGAGAACATATTCTTAGATCTAAAACAAAAGTTAGCATTGACATGCTTAAATGATGATGTCCTCCGGGCCCCCCATTATCCATCTGCCCTTTGTTTACTTTGGCCTGTACTAAGATTGCTTTAAGTTGCCGTCAGTTTTCCTTTAACTTTCCCTTTCCACTGAGGACTATCAAGACTACTCAAGTTAAAACAGAAATCTCACCCCCAACCTCACAAAATGGTAACTTATGAAAACAAAAAGGAAACGATCATCCCCCAAAATATGTTCCTCTACATCTTAATGATCTTAATTGTTGATAAAAAGCTGTCAGTAGATATAATTATACAGTAATTTCAAAAATAACATTGTATTTCATGGAATGTAGAGCTTCTTGGGAAAAGCGGAAGCTATGAATCAGGGCTAAAGTATTTGTAAGGTAACTTCTTCAAACAGCATATTTTATTCTAATTTTTATGGCAAGTTTTATCTGTACTATAGTTAACTTTCTTATGAAGGTTAACTTATTCATTGGATTGCATTATTTACCCCCCCCCCTTTTTGGTACAAATTTTCCAAATTTGTGGACTTTTTAAGGGAGCAAAAAAGGAAGTCCGTATGACAAGTTCTTTCTGTTTTGGGAAATGTCAAGTAAACTTTCTAATTATGGTGGGATTCTCTTCAGAAATAAGTTTTTAAACTCAAATGAACCAAGCACCTTGTTCCACTGATCCCCTTGTCTGTTAACCTCAGTGCCACCAGAGCTCCTTTATCCCCTTGTTTTTCAATATGTCACTTGAAGCCTCCTTTTGTCACTAAGCACACAGGCGAGTTCCAGCTTCTGGACACATGCAGCTTAGCCAGTACAGTGAGGTTTGAGACAATGCCCCTTTGGCTTAAATCCCACTTGGAAGTCTTTCCAGGCACCAAAAGCCATGAAGAACATTGTGGTGGGATACCGGCTGCCATGAAATAACCACAAGCTCCAGGTGCAGTGGGGCTGGGAGCACCGAAACCAGGCCTTGCCTTCACAGTAAAGGTCCCTAACCTTCTCATGGTCGTGGATCTTACATTCACTGCAACCTACTCCTCCACCCCCAGTCCTCAGCAAAACATAAGTATATACATGTATTTTGTATGGAATTTCATAGAATCTATTGTGATTTTTGTTGATAAAACAATTTGGAGGCTTGATTAGGGTTTGTTTTTTTTTTTTTTTCCTGACAGTCAGCATTTGCCTTTTCAAATACAGTAGGTTTCTGACGGATTTCCCCTCATCTGACAGATTTGTCTCCTCAGAGGAGACAGCTCCAAGTGTAGCCAGGTGTCTGGGGTTAGGACAACTTATTCTTTTCCCCAGAGTTCCACAGCTGGTGGTATCAGCCTACTTTCTGGGCATGTTTACTCCTTTTTGATTACACAGTATCATTCATCAGCCATACTACGAAGCCAGTCCAAATTAAAATAGAAGATTACCATCAGAATCCTGCTCTCTAGTTGCATTTATAAAGGCTTTTTTGTGTCTTTGTCCTTGGAGACTACATTGTAGAGGATTACTTTAGTCTTAAAAAAGTAATCCGTAGGCTAAAGAGAGAGTCCAGTTCATCCTTGTGGCTTGGGAAAGATCAAGCCACAAATCAAGCTCTGGTAGCCTAGTGCCTAAGGCACTTGACTGCTAACCAGAAGGCTGGCAGTTCAAACCCACCAGCCACTCCTTGGAAGGAAGATGGGGCAATCTACTTCCATAGTGATACTGCCTCATAAACCCAAGAAGGGGTCGCTATGAGTCGGGTCCGACTCGACGGCACGTAACAACAACAACAACAATCATCTATACTGGGGTCATTCATGAGGTGGGTTCCTTATCAGCCAGCCAGTTTTCTTTTCATTTGGGACTGCAACACAGGGTGACTTGTATTTTTCTACCTGAGAAAAGGTTTTCAAACATTTCCTATTATTTGAATATTTCTACTTTACTCCTCCACTCCACTCCTCTAATTTTCAATCACTATCGTAGAATTACCTGTAAGGTTTGTTTTATTGGTGCTTCTTGTTTTTTTTTGTTTTCTCTGGTCATTGAATGAACCATAAAGAAATACACTCTGTGAGATCTATCAGGGAAATACGTATGCTTAGTAAAGTTTTAAGAGAGGAGCTATTGAGATATCATGAGTCCTAGTCCTAGTCCAGACTGCCTTCATTATGACAGGCGTCTTGGTGGCCCAAAGAGGTGAAGGAGCTTTTCTTTGAAATGTGAATCACGCTGAAGTGTCCCTGCTTTTATAACTTTCCAGCATAAATTATCTAATCAAGGGGTTCAATTTTATCATTGGAAAGTGTCTAAGGCATTTTAAAATGCAGATTCTATCTTATTAAACCTTTGAGTTTTCAACTATGCTTGATAATTAAGTATTACTTGCAATTTAGCAACATATGGTCCTCAAAATCAGAGTACAGCATCCAGCATGGATCTAGTACATTTTTGGACAAATGTGTAATTAAAGCTTTAATCATGATGGGAATTAGAAACAAGTTATTGATTATTTATGTCTGTGTAGAGGGAAGTGGGTAATACGCTGTATTGACTTTTTTTTTTTTTTTTTTTTCTACAGGTGAGACCACTACTCCTCGGGCCATCCTGACAGGCCACGACTGTGAGATCACCTGTGCTGTGGTCTGCGCTGAGCTGGGCCTGGTGTTAAGTGGTTCTAAAGGTAAAGCTCAATACCTTCATATAATATATGCATTTCTTGTGTCTTCTAGCAACAAATTACCAAAGATGAATTTGATACCATTTTCAGTAAAGCTGTGTGATTATGGTAGTCATCAGCCACATAGGGCTATTTAAAATTAAGTCAATTGAAACTTGCAGTTTCTCCATGGCACTTGCCCTGCTTCCTATGCTCCATATCCACATGTGGCTAGTAGCTACTGGAGAAGCACAGATACTAAACATTTCCATCATCACAGAAACTTCTGTTGGACAGCACTGGTGAGGTTAAAGAGTGTAAGGTGTTTTATGAAGACAGCCCATAATTGTCACATTTCTTTGAGGCAGAAACAAGGGTATATGTCCTTCTGAACTTTGTCTGGACTGGACTCCTTCACACACTGGAGTGGCAACTCTTGACCAAGGCTGTTTTAACCTCCAAATAGCAGGCTACCCAGGCCCCAGAGTGACACTGAGAATGTCACTGTGAGCTGATTTGCCCTAGTAGTATCAGCATACATTGAAGCCAAAGATATTAAGCGACCTTTCCAAAAGCACATGCAGCAAATCAGGATCTGACCAGAGCTGTTTCCAGTTCATTGCTTATTCCATTGTAATAGTCTGTCCATCTCCCTTCTGTGCTTTGAGCACAAATGAAAGGCTTATGTGGGGGGAACATGAGTATTTGAGGCACCTTCCCTGTGTCCTGTCTAGTAGTAGCTAGACTACTACTTAGTCTAGCTAAAAAGCCTTATTAAATATTCAGAGGATCATGTTTCAAAATTGAGTTGGTCAAAATACTGATCAAGTGTAATAATGACAACTGATTTTTGTTTTTCCTTATACTGAGCAATTCCATACATGCAAATCCACCATGAGTTCATGGGCTGTGTGCAGTCTGAGTCAGCATATGTAGGATGAACCTTCATGTTACAGGCAGCCCTTGCTTTGTACAGTGGTACAGGACCATAAAAATGACCATTGAAACTGGAGCCACACAAAGTGATCTCCATAATCAATATGAAAGTGTATGCTTGTTCCATGACCTTGTAAAAAATTCTCAACACATTAAAAACACTCAGTTATAAAGGTATAGGGATGTTTTTAAAATAGTAAAATTCAAGTTTATTTAGTACACTGTTATTTAAAACATTAGAAAAATTGAGAATTAAAAGGGTTTTCTTTCTGCAAAACATAAACATATCAGAGTAGAGTGAACAGTGCTTGCCTCCTTCTCATGGTATAACTTATGATGTAGAGCAAGCATCTTTTCTGTACCTTGGCAAAGGTACAGACTCCTAAGTTTGGATCCACTTCCAACATTTCATCCTTTATGCTTTTAATGTTGTGCAGTGTCCCCTAGATTCCTTTAATGCAAAGTCTTTTGCTGGCATCACTTCTGGGACTTCTTTAACATTTTTGTTACAAGCACTTTCCTCATTTATGTTGATAAGTTCACCTTCACTGATTTTCTCCAGCAATATATTTAGTCTCATGAATGGTGACAGTGTCGACATTCCTACAGTCAGCTATTTCTCCTGTAACTCCATTCATGTTCAATGTGAATTCCACTTTTAGCATTATCCCTTTTCATTTCTTTACTGCAGTTTCACTTTTGCTGGCCAATTCCCTCTTTTGATTATCTATCTTTATAAAATGTCATGTAGGTTTATCATTAGGAGACAAGGAAGCAATACAGTTATATGCTCTGCTGTCTGTGCAGTAAGTGAAGCTTGCTCAGTGACCAGTCACCAACAAACTTTGAAAGAAGTGATGTGATTGGTCGCCAATCATAATGCGTATCTGTTACTTACATAGTGATTTGTGGGCTAGTAGACTAGCAGCCAAGTTTGTACTTTGTATAGTCATTGAATTTTCCAATCATATTGTCAGAGGACTGATGTTTAAAGTTTGATAGCTGAAGTAGAGACATGTTAGATGCCTGCAATGGAAGAACTGCTTCATGTATTTCTGTTTGAGCACCCCTGTTTTCAAAAGGGCATGTAGGCACATGGGGAGTGGGTAATGATTTCATGTGGCCAGGGGAGTAGAAGGGTACTTGCCCCCAGAGACCGCTCTTGTCTGACTCAGATATCCCTTGGAACTTACTCATCACAAAAGCAATCACTGTTACCTACCCCTTTGCTTTGCACATAGCAGACACTCAATAAACATAAAACTAATGTGTATGGGTTTTTCAGCAGTTACCTTACCTACTCAGGCGTCTCAGCCTGGGGAGCTGGGAGTGGTGGATGCCGTTGCTCATTTTGGGGGACAGTGGGCAAGTGGATTTAGTTGTCAAAGAGAAGCAACAGAAGGCTCTCTATGTGAATTTATTTGGGGGACTACCAGAGACCTCCTTTCAATGTGGAGTAGCAGTGAGAGGGAAGAATATGTCAAAGCCTAATCATAAGAGCCACAGGAAGCAGCAGAACTGAAGAAATGAATCAGAGAAAGGGGCGTAGGCCTCCAGAGCGGCCCTTACAGGCTCTCCCCACCGGGCCCACAGTGCTAGTAGCGAGGGAGGCCTCTGTGAGAGCAGGAAGAGGTTATAGTGCCTAAGGGCAGCCTCATGTTTGCATGCATCCCAGCCTTCCTTGAAGCTGCTCTAAGGTTTGAAATTTGTCCTTTTCTCTCTGAATTCCTCCCGTTTGTCTCAGTAATTGGCATAATGAATTTCGTAAAGTAACTTCCTACTTCTTGAAGAAGGGTGAACTGGAATGAGTATGACTTGGCTCTCTGTTCTCCCAAGTGGAAGGTGAGATCTGGCAAGAATGAAGAGGAAATTTTACAAAATCGTTTGTGTTTAAGATCTATATGCTTTTAAGGTTTTCTACAACTGTTGTGTGGCACTTTAATTGTGTTTGACATGTTCTTAAGATTCAGATCACATGTGTCTGTTTTCTTTACCAAAAATTAATTTTGCCTTTTACGTCTTTTATCAGAAGGACCGTGTCTCATACATTCCATGAATGGAGACCTGTTGAGAACCCTGGAGGGGCCTGAAAATTGCCTGAAACCAAAACTCATTCAGGCTTCAAGAGAAGGTCACTGTGTCATATTCTATGAACACGGCCTCTTCTGTACATTCAGTGTGAATGGAAAACTCCAGGCCACTATGCAAACAGATGATAACATAAAGGTGAGTGCACTGTAGAATTTTCAGCATTCTAGATTTTTACCTTCAACTGTGGAACGTGAGAAGGTATAGAGTTCACTGAAGACACCTGTTTTTAAGTTGTGGAGGGCCTCTTTCTCATGGCAACAGAAAACCCTCATGTAGCACTTGGACAACGTTTGTCAGCCCACAGACCACAGCATGTCCCAGCTGTGCTGAATGCATTGCTCGTCCAGGATACTTCACCTGTGAGATCACTTAGTGAAGCTGATGATGACGTTTCAGAAGAGAGGTTTTTTTCTAAGGGCCTGTGATGCCATCCTGGGTAACTTTTAGTGGTACTGCTCTGCTCAGTTTTTGTTGTTTCTTAAGAAAATTCACTGCACACTGTTGTTTTCTGAGCACCAAAGCTAAGATTAGGTTACACCTAAAACTGGCTCCTCTTTATTGAATAGATGGAAGCAGCAGGAACTATGGCTATTTCGGATCAGCGTCTCATTTCAGGTTTCACATCCTCATAGACAACAAGAGCAACACTTAAGAAGTTAAGGGGGTAGGGCTTCAGATTGTCATGTATATTAATCCGCTGCCATCGAGTCAACTCTGACTCATAGCGACCCTAAAACAAACAAAAAACAACAACAAACTCACTGTGCCATGGAGTCGGATCCACCTCACAGCCACCCCTCCTTGGGTTTCCGAGGCAGTATCACTATGGAAGTAGATTGCCCAACTTTCCTTCCAAGGAGTGGCTGGTGGGTTTGAACTGCTAGCCCTCTGGTTAGCAGTCACATGCCTTAGGCACTACATTACCAGGGCTCCCAAAGGGCAGAGTAGAACTGTCCCATGGGGTTTCCACAGCTGTAACTCTTTACAGAAACAGACTGCTTCATCTTTCCCCATGGAGCAGCTGGTGGGTTCGAACCACCAACCTTTTGGTTAGCAGACAAGTGCTTAACCATTGTATCACTAGAGTTTCCTCACAGACGTAGTATGGGCTCTTGGTTTTATCATTGTGATCTATATTTAGGTTTTTCATTCCTTAATATTGCCTGATGCCAGGAATTACCTGGAAACAGGGTGGTCAGACTCGATCTGGGAAACTAGGAGAATTTATGTCATTCCAGCCACCCTGGGTCAAGTGTAGCAAGGAGTGAAAAGTCCAGAGCTGACCCTCCTCCTACCCCCAGGGTTCCCTCACTGTACAAGCGCGTCCCCGTGCCCATTCTGGAAAATGATCAAAACACCAGGGAGCTTAGAGGTGAGAAAAGACGGCTCTTGAAAAAGCACTCTTAAAATGACAGTCCTTCCTCTTCAATCTTTTATACTGTGGTGCAAATGATGCCATATCCCAGATGGGCCACTGGGATTACCATTCCTTGTGCACCACAGGAAAAATGACCATGTGATCTGTTCCCATAAAGATTATAGCCTAGGAAACCCTGTGGGGAAATTGTCTGTCATATAGGGTCACTATGAGTTGGAATCAACACAATGGCAGTGGGCTAATATGAGTCAGAATCGACTCAACAGCAATCAACAACATACTGCTGCTGGGTCCCAGGACTGATTTCTTAATTCAGTAAGCTGCTTCCTTTCTCTCTTCCTCCACTTCTCTGACTTTTCTCCACTGCCTGTTGCCTGCCTCCTCTACAAGGGCATATACACCGAGCTACTCACACTCATTTTCCCCTGCCTTCCCATAATACTTCATTTAAACCAAGTACACATCAGAGGGTTTCTTTCCTTTTCTTTACAGTACAAATGTTGATAATCTGTCACTTGCAGTTGCGATTATATTGTCAGCTACACTAATAAATCTGTAAAATAATTTGAAATCCCTTGCTGGCTGAAACAATTTCTGTGGCATTTCATTTAGTACCAAAGGCTCTGGGAAGTTCCTTAGGCCGTAGGAGGGAGGCTTTCTGCAGACTACTTGTACACACATGCTTTCTCTCTCTGCCCTGTAGCCATTGTTTTTCCCTCTAATATTTCCCACTGGATTTTAGGCTTAAATAATCCATTGCCTTTTTCCTAGCACTCCTGCACTTTATCATACTAAGTTGCAAGTGGCAACTGTGTGATTAAAGCGAGCTTGCCTAAAATGAGCACAGCCTGCCCACGGCTCCAGAGACTGACACTTTCACAGCTGCCTCGGGAAGGAAGGAAGGAAGGAAACCGCAAGTTGGGAATATGAGACAGCACAGAGCAAAAATCTCTGTCTCCATCCTCCAGTCTGAGCCTATATAAGGAAAGGAGACCATGGAAACAAATTAGTCATCAGCTCAGACCAGAAATCAGGTTTCTTTGAAATACCAAGAACCCTGCAGGCAGGCAGGCAGGCAGGCAGCCTGGGGAACCTCAGCACTAATCAAGACTTCCCACCTGTTTTTATTTTAAATGCCAGATTGTTCAGTGGCGTTCTGGTTAACGGCATATCATAGTACATCAACTAGGCAATGTTTAGATGTCTTAATGAATAACTTAAATTTAAGTAGGCAGCCTGCACAGAACAGCAAAGTTATTTTATCCTAAACAAAGGCTAACCACTATTTCACCCATAGGAATTCATTTATTTTCTTTTCCTGAGGCTATGTTTTGGGATATGGCCGTCCCCAGCAGACTGCTGTGGCCTGCTGGTATGCTGTCTGCTCAGCTTCTCTGAAATCGAGTGCAGCTACAGTGTTGTCCACGGCGCTGGAGTGCAGAGGACAAGATAATGCATCTTGGGGGCCCTCTTAAGATCTCTCATCAGCCCAACCTGGATGCTGAGAGGGGTGTTAGTTAGAATGAAGAGCAATGTGACTGCTGGGTTGGGCAGAGGGTAAGAGCCGCTCAGTTAGCCTGGCTTTTGCCTCCAGAGGATTTCTTCAGTACCTAACCACAAAGACCAACAAAATATTTTTTTCACTCGCAGGCACCTGACTTATTAAAACGTTTTGGATGCTGATAAATATATGGTCCTTAAAATTTAGGCTTTTTGTAATTCCAGATACAACCAAGATCAGAGATTATGTAATAGAACAAAGAGTTAAAAGATTAATGGTTTTAATCTATATTTTCATAAGCATTTATCCACTAAAAAGCCTCAAGTATAAAACTCAAGTGAACCACAACCTTAAGGTTAATGGATGTTCATCAGCTGAATTTTATAAGTGTAGCAAATAATTATTTGTCATAGACTTCATTGCAATTCCCAGATACCCCCTAAAGAGTCTCCCATTTGTGAAATGAGGAAAAAGGATTATGTTTACTTATATTGAAAAATCTTAATACAGGTATGAGTCGCATAACATCCATTCAGGCAGTGTCTGTGCCCATATATGCTCAATGTCCCCTACTTTTTTTTTTTTCCCAAAAAAAGGAAAGCAGCTTTCCTATTTATTTTTACCCCCTAATTGTTTTAAAGACCCTTAAAACCCATTTCCTCCACCTCCCCCTCTCCTGGCTTCATTCACCTGCCCAGCAGGGTAGATTAGACACTTACGGCAACTAGACTAAAACTCTGAAAGCAGAAGAGTATAATTTGCAAAATTTAGGCATTTTTTTTCCTGGCTTGCTGACAGAATTTATATTTTTCTATGTTCACTGTGGTCAGGTGGCCATATGATTATTATCTTAATGTACTTGGAAAAGAAGTCTTGGAGAGAAGAAGAGGGGGTAGGGAAGGACCTTTTCTATCCAGGTGGGCAAACTCACTCTGTAAAGGAACAGAAAATAGTTCAGGCTTTGCTGGCCATATAGCTTCTGTTACTCCTCCTCTTGTAAGCAGCCACAGAAGAATAGATGTGGCTCTGTTCCAATAAAACTCTATTTATGGACACTAAAATTTGAAGTTCTTATAATTTTCATGTCACAAAGTATTTTTTTCCAACTATTTAAAAATGTAAAAACAAATAGCCACACAAAGACCTTAGCTTACCAAGCCCCCTCTTTTAGATGCTTGAAGCAGCAAAGTCTGTGTTGACCCTGCTTGCCCAGTAGGGCACAAAGAGACAGGGAGGCTAGACTGGCCAGCAGCAGCCCTGGCTGAGCACGCTCAGCCCTGAGTCAAGAAGAAAGTACTCAGCCTGGGCCTCACCACCCTGGGTGGGGTGGTTCTCCACCAAGTCGTCTTCCCAACTGCTGTAAAATCCAGTAGGCCCAGGGAGGTGCTAAAGCTGGTGATCTTCTACAGTGGGGCTGTACGTGTTGTTGGGGATGTGATGTCCGCTAGTGCTGTCTGCCCAGCTTGCCCAGCTGTGGTACAACACGAGGTCACCGTATCAACGGGAGAGAGGAGAGAGGGAGAGAGAGGGAGAGATAGAGAGAGATAGAGAGATGCTCAGGAGGCTCTTCAGTTTAGAGGGTTTGTCCCTGTTGAAAACATGTACCATCAGGTAGCATCTGTAGAGCTGAAAGGGTCTGCCTTCTCATCCTTAAAGTAAACAAAACTGAAGCACTGCCTAACTTTTTCCATTTAATTTTTGAAAAAATGGCAGGTCTTCCACAACTCAGGGTTTCCTATAAACTCCTAAGGCACACACACAGACACACGCACACACACTCTCTTCTCCCCACACTGAAGTAGCTGGCATCATGTAGGAAATTAATCAACCACAGGATGGAGCCTGGAGTTGTCCTTGAGCCACAGCTTCACTGAACATCGCTGTGTCTCGTAGGCCATGCAGCTGAGCCGGGACGGGCAGTACCTGCTCACAGGAGGAGACAATGGTGTGGTCATGGTGTGGCAGGTGTCTGACCTCAAGCAGCTCTTCACCTATCCAGGCTGTGATGCCGGGATCCGGGCCATGGCTCTGTCTTATGACCAGAGGTAAGATGGGGCTCATGGGCCACAATGGTGATCCTCACAGCTGTGAGGGGAATTTATTTTAATGGACTGATGGATGAATTGGGTTGTGGGAGTCACCTATGCAATCAAAAGAGCCAATGAAATGTTTGGGCTTCCAAGGACACTTTTTTGGAAGTGTGGTATCTTTTGGATAGCACTGATACTCTTAGACAAAGGTTGAGCAGCTCCAAGGGAGGTGCCTCTAAACATCTCGTCTTACTGCTTTCATCTCATTATCCCCACTGCCACCTTCTCAAGGATAGGAGCCAGCAGCAGCTCTGTCTTTAGTGTCATGTCAGTGAGTCACTGTGTTTTGAGGACTAGACCTCCACCTAGACCATAATGGACACAGCACAGCCCTCTAGAGAGGACAGCCCAGCTCAAATCATGGCCAACTCTCAGCTTTCTCACACTCCATCAATAACCTGCCTGTCAGAGGTGGTCTGTCACCTGTTGTGTGCTACTGTTTTCACAAGCAAACAGTTTGAGACTCTGATTCTTTCCTTTGATTCTGACCTAATGTGAAGGACAGGCCTGTCCAGGCCCGCCCAGCTCCCTTAGAAATGGTCAAGTCTACTCAAGTTTCAGCGGCTCATCCTGCCCTCCTGTCCACACTGCCCCTTTCAATGAATAAAGCAAGTTGTGGCTTGGGTCCTTGTGGAGCATCAGGAGGAGGCAACACTCTGAGCTTCCTCAGGATGGTGTTTAGTCATCAACACTGCACACCAGTTCTCACAAATGTAGATCTTACCACCACCACCTCTGTTAACCTTGTGGACCTGGAGAGGGCAGTTCTCGCTTTACTGGCAAGGCCCTAGGAAAGGAACAGGCTTGTAAACCTTCCATCTGCTCTGTGCTTCCCTCAGGTGCATCATTTCCGGCATGGCCTCGGGAAGCATTGTCCTCTTCTACAATGACTTTAACCGGTGGCATCACGAATACCAAACCCGCTACTGATGAGTCAGCCACGTTGGCCCTGCCCCACCACTGGGCAGGGGAAGTACCCCAGCATCGTTCTCTTAGAAATAGCTATTACAACTGAATGTAACTTAAATTTGCTCTAAGAAGCAAAATATTTTTTAAAGTTAATTGCTATTTTTGTAGCCTTTGCTTGACTTTTTTGGGGGGAATAGCAAAGCAGAAAACTGGCTGCTGGGTTCTGTAGTTTTAAAAAAAAATCTATATTTTTAGTCATAATGAGAAGTCTATTTTCACCAATTATGGAAACTTACAATGAGGCGAGAAAGCCCACTAATTCTAGCTATATTATGAAGAATCATTTCCCATTTATCTGTAATCTTGAGAAATACATGATTTTTACCATAGGGAAATGGGTTATGATACTGGGATGGGGGCTTTTATGCTGTACTTTGGGTCCTGTATTTTTTCCAAAATTATTGTACTTCTTCAGCACTGAAACTCCTGGGATTTAAATAGTAATTAATGTTAAAATTATGGTAAATGTAATTTAAAACATCTCAGTGAATTATTTCTATCACTATTACTGTTTAAGCATGTTTTAGACTTAGGAAGTTATGGTTTGAGGGAGGTATTTTATCGTGTGGTTAACCTTAAAGAATCTAATGTTATAGCAAGTGTGAAATATCTACTCTTTTCCTGATCTGTCGTCTTCATAGCACACCAAAATGAAATGACGGAAATGTTCTTGGACTCACTTTCAAAGTTAATGCAAGTACCAAAGCTCACCCCTGAGGGCTGGCTGTGGCTGTGAGCTGAGGCAGAGCCGTCTGGACCATGCACACCCCCACCCTGGGTTTGCGAACAGACGCCACCAGGTGCTGTATTAAGCAATGCCCATTTCACTTTCTATTTGCTATTAAACTATCTACACCATCCTTTTGATTAGCAATTTGTACTAAGAAACAATGTTATTTTGGTGTTGTAAACTTCTACTTTTGTAGTAGATTGCTGTGTGGAATTCTGTGAAAAATATTTGAGAAAAGGTCTGTACTGCATAAATAAATTCTTTGTATGTTGTGAACTTTGAGTTGAAACTGACATTCCATCTCTCTTTCTCTTGCAACTTAAAGAGGTCTCGATTTTCTTACCCTATACATTCATCTATTCTTCAAAAACAAAGATACAGAATGGAAAAACTCAGGTTGACAGGAACAGTAAATAAAATGTAATTAAATTGCTGGAAATAACTTTTTCACTCTTAACTTTTAAACATTGATAAGATAATAGTTATTTGCAGAGATAGTTGTGATCAATAACCAGTGAGAGAGAGGTTTTCCTGAACAAATGCAGGAAGCTAGCCTTCTCTGGCTGAAGCCTCCATCTTGTTTGATTTCCCCAAATAGGAAAACTAGATCTGTGTCTGAGAAGTAACTAAATAAGGAACTTAATATGTCATTTCATCTAAGATGTACCATTATTTGATAAACCATTAAGAAGGAAAACAGGTAAGTACAATGTCAGAGAGAGGGATAGAAAGTATCTTCTCAGAATCAAATATCCTAAGTTATTGGCAAGTTAACTGACCCAACCTCCTCACCAGTGTTAACTCTTAGGTGATATTTTAGAAACTTTAGTGAAAATGGTAGAAGAAAATCAGCAAAACCTAAGTCATATGTCAGTCATGATACTTACCTCATCGTAAGACTCCTAATGCAAGGTTAATAAGCAGCTTCCTTGTGGAACCTAGAAATACTCAGTGCTGCTACTTACAAAACATATATCCTACAATTATGGAAAATTAAGTAAAACACAACTAATTCTTCATGAAACAATATAGCTGACATCAACACATATCTTATGATAGAATCTGTTTAGTATGGTATTTTTTTAGGACTTAATATTCACTTATTTTATCCAATTTTAACTCCTCTAAGTAAAAACAAAACCATTAATTCAAAAGAATGTAAAGCAATGGGGGGAAAAAATCAAAGTAGGGGTGATTTGGGGATGAAACGGAATGACCCAGAAAAAAAGGGAAATGGTGGCACATCGGTAAGTGGAGCAGCTGTGAAAGTGCAGTGTGTTTGGTTCCCATACTGTAATTTAGGCTGGTGTAAAACCACATCACCTCAAGAAATTAAGATTTTACTCCTAGTACTGACGCTTCTGCAAATATAACCAATCCCGTCCTTAAGACTCTGCAGTTTAAGACACGCTGTTAGATCTCTGGGGGAAAAGCATGAGAACCTAGAAAACAGAGTGTGAAAATCTGACAGCCACATGCGTACAAACTTGTAGACAAGTCACCCAAGAAATCTTATACCTAAAATATGCCATTTTTTAAAATAAAGTACAGTAATAAAAAGAAACTAATTTGTTCCTTGAAAGCACATCACATATTCAGTACTACTTATCAGCATACAAAACAAGAAGATTCAAAATGGCCTACCTGGGAACTATGAACAGTTCAAGGTAGCACAGCAGGCCAAGAGCTAATCACCTGGGGCTGCTCTTTAGTTCAGCTCAGAGCACAACACATGATGCCAATGGCCCCATCACCACCATCAGATGGGCAGTAAGATGGCAGTGGCCACATGGCTATTTTTTGCCATCGAGTTGGACCCGACTCATAGCAATCCCTCCTTGGGTTTCTGAGGTTAGTCAAGTTTATATGAGAGGGCCAGGGGATGCCATAATGCAGTCAGACCCAGAGCACCACGTGTAGCTCTCTTCAGTGAGCCTTGCAGCCTGAATGGCAGACTTCCCATAGCTTCTCTCAGCAAGCAGGATTGAATTCAAACTGCCTGCAGCAATTGAGCTCTTCCAAGATCCTTACAGGTCAGGATAGAAATTTTCATTACGTATCTTTGATACATTTTTATTGGGTATAATTTCAAGAACTGGCCATGCAAATCAGGAGCCTAGCATGGTCCTGCTGCATCATTGCTGATGTAAACAATGATGTAAAGAGGTTCCTTGTCAATCAAGCAGGACTTTAATCTAAGCAGTTGAAGAATTTTTGCTAGTTCCTTGTATGTGCTGGGAGCTCTGGTGGTGTAGTGGCTAAGACACTTGACTGTTAACCAAAAGGCTGGCAGTTCAGACCCACCAGCCACTCCTTGGAAAGAAGATTAGGCAATCTACTTCCATAGAGATACCGCCTCAGAAACCCAAGGAGGGGTTGCTATGAGTCGGATTCAACTCAACGGCAGTGCGTTAGGGTTTTGTGTGTGTGTGTGTGTGTGCGTGTGTGTGTGCGGCATATGGAGTAGCAGCTAGTCCCACAACCTCACTTCACATAAAATCACATTAGGCAAATCACACAAACACCGAAAGAAGGAAGACAAGCCTTAAATTTCAAAATCGGCGTATCTCCTCCCCCCCCCCATTGCAGTCAGTCAAGTTGATTCCAACTCATGGCAAGTCCACAAGTGAGAGGAGAACCGCAGAGTTTTCAATGGCTGTTTTTTGCCAGGCCTTTCTTTCCAGGTGCCTCTGGTAGACAGAAACCTCCAATTTCCGGTCAGCATTCCAGCATGTTAATCATTTGCACCACCCAAGGACTCCCATAAACATCAGCAAATGAGAGCCATGCCCCTACTTCTCTAACTGGCTATTCCTGCCCTACAAGCGGTTTGCAGGGGAAGCCAGGATGCTGCAGTATTTCAGAACTTCCCACTTCTAAAAAGGAAGTACTCAGAACCAAACCAAACTCACTGCCATCGAGTCACTTTCAACCCACAGTGACCCTCCTCCACGTTGGGTTTCCAAGGCTGTAAATCTTTGTGGAAGCAGATTGCTTCACCTTCCTTCTGCGGAACGGTTGGTGGGTTCAAACCACTAATCTTTTGGTTAGCAGCCAAATGCCTACTATACCACTGTTGTTATTGTTGTTGTGTGCCATCGAGTCAAACCCGACTCATAGCGACCCCTCCTTGGGTTTCCGAGGCAGTATCACTACGGAAGTAGGATTGCCCAACCTTCCTTCCGAGGAGTGGCTGGTGGGTTTGAACCACCAGCCGTCTGGTTAGCAGGCAAGTGTTTTAGCCACTATGCTACCAGAGCCCCCGGGGATGGCCTCAGGGCCTCGGGCAGTCAGCTGCCACACCCAAGGCTGGCGGTTCAAACCCACCGGCTGCTCCCCACCAGGTAGACTATACCACTAGAACTCCTTAATGTAGTACTGGGAACTCCTTTTAAGTTAGGTAGCTTGCATTGTGTTTCCTTGGGATAGCTCTGCTCTAGAGCTCTGTCTCCAAGTTGACAACATTCATTAGTCCTTGTTCACTATGGTTCATCTGCCTGAACCATGCTGTCTCCTACTTCAGTTTTCCCCATCGTGTTCATGGAGATCTTCTGGAGGACGTTTTGCTAAATGCATTCAACCCATATATTCCTGCCATAGTAGAACTTTTGGGAAAAATAATTAAAGAGACTCCTTTGGTACAACTGCTGAACCCAGAAGGCCCCCCACCATGGCTTTGTGAGTCAATCTGAAGCCAGAGTTCTAGTAGCCTCCAGGAAAATCTTTAACCAGAAACGTTTTAGTGTCGGTAGTGCTAACAGAACTTTTGTAATTCTAAACACTCCTTAGGGCCTTTATCTGCCCTCTAGTCTCAGCAGGTATCAAGGAACTTCCTCCGAACTCAGCACGCATCACAAAAGCCATCCGGATTCAGCACGTATCAGAGATTTGCTCGGCTCCTGAAAGTCTTCCACATACCTGAGCCTTGCATCCTCCCTAGATAATATTTTCCTAAATGGACTTTGAAGCCGGGGGTGGGGTGGGGGTGAGGGTGGGGGTGGGGGGGTTTCTTTACATCCCCCAACATCTTAGATCGCTGCCCTAAATTCCTTCGCAACAACCAATCATCTGTATCCTCTCGCCCTGGTGCTGCTCCACCCCATAATTTTCCATAAATTTGTGACTATACCGGGGCACGGGGTCTTTTGCTCAAGCCACCGATCTGGTAAGGGCAAAGACCCTAACTTAAGTTAGCTAATAAACTTTCCTATTGCTTTTGCATTGTCGTGTGTTGGCATATTCCTCGCCGAGCAACTCCTTCATAACCTGGGCACAACAGCTTTAGCAGGTGACCATTTCCTTTTTTTAACCCCCATTTCATCAATTTCTTTAGACGTTGATCCTCAACTCCAGTTGGCAAATGAACATAGAACAGGCACATACCATTCTCACTGAACAGTATCTGAGGACCCCAACAATTAAGTTCCTGGATTGAATTTGCATCCTGAAAACAGAAATAAGAACTCAATAGATGTTTGCTAAACAAGTAAGCTTGTGGTATTGGCACACTGGTTTAGGATTGTGAATTTGCATGATCCCTCACTGCAGGCCTGGATTTCTCCTGGGTAACAGAAGACAGATAAGTAAAATCTAAACCTAAACCTTGGTTCTATCTCCTGGGTCTAGGACCTTGGATATGTTACCTAGCTTCTTGCTTTAACACCTCATCCTTTTCCAGGTTTCTGTAGGAATAAGGTCATTACAGAAGGACTTGGAGGCAGTGCTAGCATACCCCACTAATGATGTCACCTGTCTACATCACATCCTCACTTACCATGTCCTAGGCCATCAGGAGTGGCACAGAGGAAAGTAGCCTGCACTGTACCAGTGACAGATGCTGTTCTCCTGTTTAAGTCTTTAGCAGATATCTTTGAACCTCACAGTTCAGGGAAGGATCAGGTTTCAGGCTCTGATCAGTGCTGGAGTCCTCAGTCCATCACAGTTTTTGTTTATTTTGTTTTCTTCTTCTTCCTTTACATTAGCTTTTCCCTTCATGAACAAAACAATTTCCCTTGGAAGCTAAGACAATGGCTACTCTTTGAACAGTGGAGAGACAAGCAAAACATTCTAGACTTACACATCACAGCTTTTCTGAAACTGCCCTCCTCCTGCCGCTTGTCCCTGCCTCAGCAGCCCCACTGGTCCTGGCCATAGCTAATTGGATCAGGGTCAATACCATCCCACAGCCTTGGCCAATGAGATCGTCTCACTCCTTCAGCAATTTGAACTAAGAGATTCAGGACCTAGTCAGATGGAGTCAAGTGCTGGCGTTCTAA